TATATATAGTTACATACGCTATATATATATATATATATATACATTACAATATATATATATGTATAATAATATAATAATATAATAATATATATATATATATATATTGAACATACACTATTAATCTAAATGTACGTCTCTGACATACCGTAACAGCAGCTCAAGCGAGCCCCCGCTGGTCTCCTCATACAGAGTGCCGTCCAGGTTGGCGTGTCTGTAGAAGCACTGCTTGCCAAATGTGCACTTGCCCCGGGCGAAGTTGAAGAATTTACAGTCAATCTGTGACGTGTCTATGGGAGCCATCTGGCTCAACATCTCTTTCGACTCCACATTCCCTTTGGACGCGAACGAGTTTTTGCGTCGCATTTCACCTGTGCGTGAATAGGTGCAGCAAGGACGTTCATGTTTGTGATATACACATGTACAGCGCAGAAACGTGCTTTACAGTAGACCTGTGTGATGTGTAGCCTACATGCCACGCGATATATGCGTTCTTGCGCAGGCCGTCTTTTACTTTACGTAAATGCATCGAACGATTGGCAGGTGCTGCCGCACAAATACATACACACATAAATGCATAAATATCAAGACATCCACACACAAGTATAAACACATGGTCAAAACGGATGATGCCTGCTTCCCCGAGTTGCCACCAGCACCACACAGTTGTTGTAGTCTGTATATAAGGACAGTTTGCATCTAAATGTACGTAATCAATTCTCAACTTAACACATATAGCTTACCTGTGGCTGTTTTACTTCTTCTGATGCAGTGAATAGCAAGCACAAATATGCATATCACACCCAACCACAGACACGAATATATATATACAAACATATACAATTAATGCGTATATATATAAGTACGTCTAAATATAGGGATATATGAATATATGAATATGAATATTTATATACGATATATGTGCGTTTGTATTTTATATATATATATATATATATATATATATATATAATAATAATTAAAATACAACAACATAACTAAAACTATAATATATATA